CCACTGCTCCATGACTCAGGCGCCTCCTGGTGGCCAACCAGCCTCTCTGGTCCTTGCTCTGAGGCTGAACCCTGCCCAGGGTCCTCCACATCGTCCAGAGCCGACTCATAGGGTCCCTCGCTATTGGAGTCTGTCGGCAGCTCAACCGGATCCTGCTGGGCCATAACATATAGCATAGCATAGCATAGCCTTTATTGTCATTGTACATCATATATATGATGAAATTGGTTTTAGCCTCACTGGTACAATCCAAGACAACAAATACAAAAACATAAATAGTATAAAGAATAATCCCTATGTAACTAGTTAGGGAAGAAAAAGAAAAAAACTAGTCAAACATTTCCGCATGTGCGTGGAGTGATTGTGGTTGTGTTTAAGAGTCTGACAGCCCAAGTTTAGAAACTATTTTTAAACCTGTTTGTTCGGCAGGCTATGCTTCAATGTTTTCTGCCCAATGGTAGAAGTGTGAAGAGAGACTGACCAGGGTGCGAATCATTATGACCTTTGAATAATACACACTTGTCTGTTCTAGAAAGCCTTTGAGATATTGGTGAGAATCATTCTGCTAGGTGTGTTGATGCATTATTGTTAATAAGTAAATAAATAAAATTAAATGTTTTACCATATTTCTGTATTTTTATTAGTGTGCTGGGTCATTGCTGTTGCCCTGTGCATTCCAGAGATCCTTTAAGACTAAGATGGTTTTAAATTTTTACAAATAATTAAAACTGAATTTTAAAAAATGAGCAGAGTGCTGATTGACATGAAATAATAAAGAGTTTAGAAACAGAACTTCAGGGTCCAATAATTCTTACTGTGTATCTAGCTGAACATTACTGCTGGCATTGTGTATCTATGTATGTTTAATATGTTCAGTTCTTGGAATAAATAATTTCCAAACACTTTATCATCCTTATTTCTCTTCCCTGTCTTCTGCTATCAATATAATAGGCTAAATGCATAGCTGATATTCAAAAATGAGTTTAGTAAATATATTTGGCATGTTAATATGATAAAATAATATTTTCCTGGTATATAGCTGTAAACAGTAAATATATGTCACCAGTTATCAGTTTAACCTGCTTCATGCTTTTAATATCTTTTAGAATAAATTTAATATTTGCTTTCACAGGTACTTCTGTTTTTACTGTTGCTGCTCATGACCACAGTTTGATGGAAAACAATGTAAAATATACAATCATCAGTGAACATGAGGATATTTTCTATATTCATCCCATCACAGGTAAATTAGCCTATTTATTTTCATTTGTTCTAAAATCATTTGAGGCTTTAGTAAAATATTTTTCACAGTGGAGTTATAATTGCATTTGTATAAACATCATTCAAGGGGTTAGTGGTTATATATATATATATATATATATATATATATATATA